AATTTGACTCGAGTAGGCAGAGTCTTGGGGTTGGTTTTTAATTTGAGTTATCAGAATTATTACAACCCTTTAAAAGCACTATAGTGAACATTAAAAATTTAAATTAAGCTCTTTTGAGAACATTAACTTTGAATTTTCTTAAAGCCGGCCTAGCTCCGGGCCTATTCGACCCTAAATTTTGGTCGGTCTGCTGAATTTTGGTTGCACCATAATTAACTGGTCTGATGCATCTTAGCAGTTAGAATCAAATTTCGGTCTAAAAGAAATTTGAATCTGGGCATATGAAATATAAATAAGAACACTACAATATAAGAACCGGATATTGTCATACGTTTAGTTAGACTCGTAAATTTTTGACACGGGTGAACCGGTGAGCCGGTTTGCTTTAACCTGGTCTGAAACTCTATTTATAATCATGTGATCTTTACGCGTTGATTTTCGCGTACAAGTATTATTTGTCGCGCATAACGCTACTGCAGTAACGCATAGATTTCTTTTAAAACTTTTTTTTCTTGCCATTAAAATATAAAAGAAAATGACAGAATTTTTTAGCCTACATGAGGAACTCTTGAAGCTGCAAGATGCAAATTATTTTTTTCCAAATGAAGTATCTGTAAAAGATTTGGATGCGCCAGAGCTTGATGGAATGTTGAATGGTAAAATTCGGTACAGTTTGAATCAACGATAAAATATTCGGAAGTTCATAAACTCTTTTTTTTTCAGATACTACTGACAAGATAGGCGAGAGTTCTTCATCAATAGTAAATGCCGAACTTTTCGATACCCTACGTAGTTTTGTAAAGTAAGTACATAAATGATAAATTTTCACTTATTTATCCAAATAATTTTATATACAAGTTGAAGAACAATGTCATTCCAGTTCATAATCAAACTTTTTGCAGAAACTTTAATGATTTAAAATCAGTTACGATGAATCGCGTCCTTGATATCATTCTATCCGGTAATCTTAAAAATATATATATTCATTCGAGTTTATAATACAATTTAAGTTCTTATAATTATATATTTAGGCTTTCAGGCTGAATACGATACCACGTCAAATGACTTGGACGCAGATGATGAAGAAACTTATAGTGAACATCGAATGGCGTTGGAAATGTATGGATTTTTGTTAGCATGGCTGATTTCCAACGCAGAAAACAAAGCTGACTCCAAGAGTGGTGCAAATGGAACGATAGTAATAACTGGCGGGAAAACGAGGGTAACTTTCAAATATAATTCTTAATTAACGAGAACTGTCTAGATAGGTGCCTCATTGCTTATTATTACATAATTATAAATAGCGCCAGAAACAAACAAAACCGAAATCATCTACTTCTTCGACGACTGATTCGTCTGATGAATGGGATTGGTCAGCTCAAAAGCTGACTGCATTGAATTTAATGGTAAAGATATTAGGACTTAGACTTCAAAAAATTTGGACTTCGACACATGAAAAGGATACTTTCGTTAGGTAATTCAAAGTGTTTTGAAGTGACAATATCATAATTTTACTAATGACAACACCCGAATTTCACGAATTTCTCTTAGCTTGTTTACCAAATCTGCATATCGGATATTAGAAAATGTAAATAATACTAAAAATTCTGCAATAAAAAGAGTCGTATATCAAATTCTTTCGATTTGCGTAAAAGATCATAATCATGCATTTGGTTAGTGTGGCACGAGCAAAAAGAGTAATTCTTTTTATTGAGTTATTGAGTTATTAATCATCATAATTTTCTTTTTTTAATAGGTGCTCAAACTTCCATCATTCAAAATTTACAATACTATGAACATCTTTCAGAACCGATGGCTGAATTCCTTGACGTTCTCGCAAAGCAGTGCGATCACACGCGAATTGCTGAAGAAATTTTGATGTAGGAATTACCACTGCTTCGACTCATTTTAACAAGTAAATTTATTAATGATTTATATAATAATATATTTCCATTTTATCTAGAGAAATAAGCAATAAAGAGTTTGGAAATCAAGATACAACAGGCCCGAAATCTTTTTCAAGGTTCCTTGTTAAATTATCAGAGTTGGTTCCAAGAGTAGTTGTGAAACAGATTGGATTATTGGTCAAACTTTTAGACAGCGAAGTAATGTCGAAATCATTTAACGCTTTATAGTGTCTTGTGATGAAATACTAAATAATAAATTTTTACTGCCCAGTGTCACACAATGCGGATAGGATTGATAGAAGTTCTCGGCAATCTTATAATCGATCTTGCAAACCAAGATGATCAAGCTTTGAATTACGTTTCACAAATAAATGGATTTTTCGATGCTTTGGAAGAGCGGTTCCTTGATGCGAATGGCTTTTGCCGTTCAAAATTATTACAAGTTTATCTGAAGATATTAGAGTAAGTTATATATCTAGTGAGATATTATAGTACTATGTATAAAATTTTCAACGCATCTCTATTCTTACTTTATGATAGTTTGAAAGCAAAGTTTCCAAAGCGCAGACAAAAACTCACTGATCTAGTTATTCGATCTTTGGAGGATAAGGGCAGTATCGTTCGAAAAAACGCCATCAAACTATTGACTAAGTTGATTGCTACACATCCATATGGCGTAATTCATGGGGGAGAACTTTCAGTTAAAGAATGGGAAGAACGATTAGAAAAAATAGAAAATCAATTAAAGGTAATTTCTATTGTGGTATAATGTAAAGAGATAAGCATAATACGAATCTAATATTTCACTTTCGATATAAAAAGGCTATTCAACCTCCACAAGAGTTTACCGAAGTTGGGGCAGAATCTTCTGCATCATTACTAGGTGAAGACGATAGCCAAAGTGAAGATATGGATGTTGATATGCCTGATTTATTAAACCACCAAAATGCACCAGCCCAAAATACATCATCTACATCGGCTGATGAAATAATGAGGCTTCAACTTACGAGACGTTACTATGCTGACGCTGTTCGTTTTATACATCAAATACATACTGCTATTCCAACTCTTTGTCAACTTCTTGGATCCACAACAAAATCAGAAGTACTTGAGGCAATGGAATTTTTTGTAACCGTACATACTTACAAGATGGAGTTTGCTATAGAAGGGATTAAAAGAATGCTGCATTTGATTTGGATAAAAGACAACAATGATGAGGGAAAGGGTATTCGGAAGCGTCTGATCGAAAGCTACTACAAATTATATATTGAAACAGACGTTGCACTTTCTGATAAAGAGGCTGTTAATATGGTGACTAGGAATTTAATAAGGTATTTAAGAATTGCTTTAGAAATATGGTACTATCACAATACTAGCTATAGGGATTTATGTACATTTCATAATTTCTAGTTTGACTTATAATGCTACACTTGCTGAATTAACCTCGCTTGAACAACTTATGAGCACAATGATGGCTGAAGAGTTAATAAGTAATGGTGTTATAGCGAAATTGTGGTCTGTCTATTGTAAGAACGTTCTGTATACTATAAATTTGTTTTTTTTATTAATTGATATGCAAGTGATAATATATTATGGTATTTAAGCTGTTTCGACGAAGCAAATTCCAAAAGCGCAACGTCGTGGTGCCATTATTATACTCGGCATGTTTGCAAAAGCGAAAATGGAAATAGTTCAAGAAAAAACAGATCTATTGTTAAAAATTGGTCTTGGTCCTTTTGGTAAAGTGAGTACTCTTCCAAAACAAATAATCTTAGTGAGAATATGAATGTTGCTGAATCTAATATTAAATTGTTGATGTAGGCAGATTTATCATTAGCAAAATATACCTGCATCGCATTGCAACGATTGGGTGGTAACAAGTCTAGAGTAAAAGGTATCGTTTTTTTTTTGAGAAGTTATTAATATTGATTGATTTACTTCGAGATATATATATAGTATGTCGTGTCGTTAAATAGCATAAAGTTATAAACAAACTCCTTATCAACTTATTTGGTTTATTCGTTTTATAAGGTTCATTGAAAAATGATTCTATTCGATTTCCGATGTCTCATCCGATTTTTCACAGATTGAAACAGATGATCGAATTTCAGACATCTTCACAGGAATGGTAATTAAAAATGTCATTTATAATTTATTGAAGAATATATAATATTAATTTTATCTTGCATTCAGGTTTGCTGTTGCAGAACAAGCAATTAATACTATTTACTTGCTTGGAGAACACCCAGACATTTTATGTGCTGAAATTATTAAGCATAAAACTGCATCCGTTTTCGATTTGAAAATTCCCAAAGCTGATGATATGGACATTGACGGAGATAACTTTCTGCCAGATCAAGAACAGTTTATGACACACCCTCTTCAATTGAGTCAGCTGATATTCATAGTTGGGCATGTTGCTATCAAACATATTGTCCATTTAGAATTTATTGAAGATGAATGGAAACGACGGAAAGCTGAGGCTGAATCAAAAGGTATTGTAAACTTACATTGAAAGATCACATTAAGATGCCAAGCATGTATTAGATGTTAATATGTTGTTGTTAGATACTGAAAAATCAGCAAAAAATCCCGGAGATGATGAATTAGAACAAGTAGCTGGCACAACAGAAGATGAATTCGGAGAAGCAATTGCTCATATTCGCGAGAAAGAATTGTTGTTTGGTGAAAATTCGTTGTTGGCAGTCTTCGGTCAGCTAATTAGCAACATATGTGCTAATAACAAAACCTATAATGTACGAGAATGATTATAATTATTATTATTATATTTATTATTATTTATTTTTGCTTATTCACTTATTTATTATTAATAACACATAGAACCATACTTTACAAATATGCGCTACTTTAGCACTAGCAAAATTAATGTGCGTTAGCTCAGAATTTTGCGAGAATAATTTACAGCTATTATTTACTATACTCGAACGGTCGAGCGAACCCACAATTCGCAGTAATATAATCATTGCATTAGGAGATATGACCGTTTGTTTCAACAGCATAATTGATGAAAATATCAATTATTTATACAAACGTCTTTCTGACACAGATAAATTAGTTAAGAAAAATACATTAATGGTTCTAACTCATTTGATTCTTAACGGAATGATTAAGGTCAAAGGTCAATTGGGCGAAATGGCCAAGTGTCTAGAGGATGAGGATCAGAGAATAAGCGATCTTGCTAGATTATTTTTCACAGAACTGGCATCCAAAGATAATGCAGTATACAATAATTTGCCAGATATTATTAGTAACCTTTCAAGTGGAGATAATCCTGTAAATGAAGAATCATACAAGAAAATTATGAAGTTTTTGTTTGATTTTATTGAAAAGGTGAGCGTATATTACGAATGTTATAATAAAAATAGGTGCTATATATTAATATTATTACCGTTTAGGATAAGCATACTGAGAATGTCGTAGAAAAACTATGTCAAAGATTTAAAAATCTTGATGATCGACGTCAATGGCGTAATATTGCATATTGCTTATCATTGCTTCCCTATAAGAGTGAAAGAATTGTAAAGAAGCTACTTGAAGGAATGTCACTTTATCAAGATAAATTGCATGAGAACGATGTTTATAAAGCTTTTATGGATATTATCTCCAAGGTTAGTTTTTCGCATATATGTATGTGCTTATGCCTATGTATGTATACTGATTTGTATTTAAATTTTCTCTAGGTGAAGTTAATAAAGCCGCAAAAACCTGAGATGAAACAATTGGTTGATGAACTTGAGTCAAAAATTGAAGAATTCAGACAGAGAAGCCAAGAATAGAATTGCGATCTAAAACTTTTTTGAATGATGACATTATTAAGTACTTTGGGTTTGAATCTACTTCATCAGGGATAATAACTAAAATATATGTCCCATTTTCGGTCAATAATTTCAAATTCAAAAACCAATTAAATTTATTAAGCCAATGCTATAAATTATTTTCATTTTCAAATTAAAACCTGAGCAATTCAGCTACTAAGTAGGATATGCTAAATAAATTGATATTTAGGTCTAATAGTTGTATCAGAAATGTATACAATGTGTAAAAAACAATTATAACCCTATTTTCTTGGATAATATGATTCAATAGTATTGTTACCAACCTTAAATCCAATGCTCTGGTTTAGTCTTAGTCTTAAGTGTCCAATTAATCTAAATCTAACAGATCGTATGCCCAATAACATTACTAGATTCAAAGAGTTGAAATACTGTAGCTTTATTTGAAATTTTTCAAAGCATTGTAAGACATCGGATTTTGCATTATTCATGTTTATAGTCAACAAAACATTGAGATACAATATATGCTGACGTTCTATGAATAATTGAGTTTGCAACCATTGACAACTCATTTGTTTGACAGTCCAAAATCTGCAATCTTTGGTTGTCTTTGATGAATTAAGATATTTCTCGAATACTAGGCATTAGTGATTTAAAATTCATAACATACAATATAAAATATCTTATTGTCTATACATTCGTATAAGATAATAAATATCTGAATTAAATATAACAATTTATATTCATAAATATAACAGACTGTGTTTACTATACCTTTGTGACTCCAAAGAGTATGATAACATTTGATAGTTATAAACTCTTTTATATATAAATACAGACATAATAAGAATTTAATACTTAAAATTTTTATATAATAATATAATAATCTTTTTTATCTAAAAACATTTAAGAGCGACAGTTAATCTCATTCACGTTTAAAAAACCCCAGCACCAATTTCTTTAGGGTCTGTAAACTTATACCAAATAATTAATAATATGACATTCATTATCCATTCGGATACATGTGACACTGCATTTCAGATTTTAACATTAAGGGTAGGGTGCACATACGTACGTAGATCATTTGTTATCTGATTATCTGAAAAATAAAAGCATTGTTAGTTCAGTGTAAAACCACTGTATCTAGTCACAATACATACATTATGAAAATTTTTTTATTTTTCTTATAATTAGTCTTTTATTGATGTTCGTCTTTTCACCAAGGGGTCTTGTCTTTCGCAGAAGCTTCGTCAAGGGTTTCGCCTTTCGCAGAGGGTTTCGTTTTTCACAGGAGTATCGTCAGTCTCGCCCTTCAGAAGGTTAGGTTTCGTCTCATAAAATTTCGTCTAACAACTATACTAACAACACATCAATTTCTTCAGTGCAAGGTCTTTTAAAAAATCAACAACAATGGAAAAAACAAATCCAAGTTGAGCGTCGACAAGAATTGAAAAAATTAGAAGAAACTGAGCGGATTTTATCTTTATCATCAGATCAAGAATTTATTACTCCTGAATATCGACAGCAAAAACGCGAAGCAGGAATTCAAAATTATAATCATTTTCAATCAATGAAACGTCAAGAAGGATTAAATCATTTATTGAGTTTATATCATGATGCTACAAATTTTGTAACTTTAGAAAACTTGGACGCCAAAATAGATGAGGCTTTTGCTAATCCACATCCCAGAAATGTTTATGCACATGCATTAGAAGATATGCAAATTGAATATCAAGAAACTAGTGGTGGTGTTAATGAAAATGAGATTTTAAAAAGGTTGGGTCAAATTAAAGATACTTTAGATGGAACATCTCATTCTGGGGTTCATCTAGGATTAGATATGATAGATCCACCCATTGAACCTATTGAGGAGCACGAGCAATCTGAGAAATCAAATGCATCTGACTCACGGAAAGACATTCATATGATTGGCTAAATATCAAAAAAACGAAAACAAATTTTAATTAGTTTTTACTATCTAGTGAATATTGTTACGTTCCTTAAGTGTATTTTCCTAAATAATTAAATAAAAAAATTTTTGCAGCCAATTTCGCAAATCAGAAAAAAAAGACGACCCTTTATATCATTAACCATCGTTCATATTGGTACGGTACAAATCAACTAAATAACCAAAATTGTAACATTCCAGTCCTGGATAATACATATAATGTTTTTTTTTGTGAATTTACACAGAAAAAAAAACCAACAAATATCTTCGAAGAATAATTATAGGCAAGATACTATATGATTAGTTATTTCTCCAAATAACCCCATAAATTGCTTAAGTATTATTTTTTCTATTGTAGGATTATGAGCTTTATAAAGTGCCTGTACGTAAATGCAAGATAATAAGCCATGGTTTTTATTAAAAGAACTAATTACGTTTAGTATAAATCGGTCAAGTCCTTTCGCGATCATCTTTTTGTTTGACTAATAATTCATACTAGAATAATTAAGTTTATTTATTCCTTGTTTCCATAGCTATATATAATTCATACTAGAATAATTAAGTTTATTTATTCCTTGTTTCCATAGCTATATCGTTTTTCTCCACACCCCTATACTTGTTATTAAATGACAAGATGAACATGATAATTAGATCTATTTTTACATATATATGTCGTGCATCAAATTAAAATTTGCGTCAGATGAAAATTTAAATGCGGAGTTTTTAGGGTACCTATGTTGGGCATTAGCGGAATTATAATGATTTTAATCTGACGCGGATTTTAATTTGACGCACAACATATATACCAGAAAAAAAATCTTCAAAAATTTTTTGCACCATATATTACTGAAATTTTCATCATATAATATAATATTTAATTATATTGTATTATGATAAATAATTTAAATTCTATGAGTAAATAGTCATACTTATTTATAGAGATATGCCTTGTATCACTTTAGAGATTTTATTGCTATAAGTTTACATCAAAATTTGAAAAATTTGACCAACAATTGTGAGTCATTTAATTGACCTAAAATATATATAGTATGGGACAGTAAAAGACATCCAATCTATACATATAGGAGCAAATTTTGATGCTTATATAATCAATTATAATTGGCTAATTTTTGTACAATTGATTCTGATTGGTTAAAAATATATATATCTTTTCTTTTTTTTTATATTAAGCACCAATTTTATGAACTCATAAATTTTAATCTTTTATAACTTTTTTAAAACAAAGAATAAAAAAAAAAAATCCTGACAGAAATGTAGTTTATCTAAAAATCTATCAATTTGTCAGAGGTTTTTTTGATTTAGCTTGTTTTAAAAAAGTTATAATATTTTAAAGTTTTTATTAATAAACATTGGATGTGTTTTACCGTTCGGTACTGTAGTAAAAAAATAAAATGCTTTTTTACGGTGTATTAAATTCCTAAAGTTTAAAATGCCCGTTTTATCAATTCTATATCTAATTCAAAAGTTTTCTTATTAAAATTAAACAAATAAGTAATAGATGTTTAACAAACGATAAAATCGTATTACTCTTAAAAAAATAAAATAAATAGACGCGGAAGTTAGATGAAAGGTATGTTTGGACGTTTAATTAGAGATATAATAAATCAATTAAACTCGGCAATTTAAGCTGTCTATTACGTATTTGTGAAAACTTATTTTTCGTAATCCAAACTAATATAGAAACCTGACTATAAGATAGGCTAAGAATGAGAGTCATAAGGTTTATAGATTTCGTGGAAAGAGTTAAAATGAAGTAGTGGGTACTGTAACTGTATAACGATTATTAAATACAATTAAGATCAGTTTGATATTGGAACGAACGCTAAAAGTTGTTTTTGTAAATTTACAAAATCTAGGAAATAATTTTCAAACAATTAAGACAACCCCTGAAACAAGATAATTAAAAAATACAAATTTATAGAATATTTTTTTATATTTTTGTTCTATTTTTATTTCATATTATATAGTTCCGATACGTAATGCTGCAAATTTCGCAAACTACAATAATAAATTATTAAATTATGTCTTTTATAAAGTCTTACATAATATAAAGTTTAAAAAAATATATATACAAAATTAGAAGTCAGAAATTGGTTTATTTTTTTTTGATCAGCAAAATTTACAAAAGTTTTGCAAACCGATGGGGTGGTGATAATCGATTAAAATAATTAGATCACAAATTATATATATTGGGGCATCATTTGTATAAGGTAGCAATGGTCAAAAAGTGATTATTTAAATTTAAAATTAATAAAGAACAAAATTTCGTTGATAATATAATAATACCGTAATAAAATGTATTTATTTTTTCGTGCATATTGAATTTTTTGAACGTTTTGTAGAAAATTGATACGGAAAGTCGACGGACCGGACGGTCTACGGACACGTACCAATTCACATGATTTGCATGTACCTATTATAAATCTAAAAACCTCACGTGCTAATATCCTTCCCTAAAGTTAGGTACGTATGTACGTGCCATAGACTGTCGGTTACGTGATATAAGGTACGTGTAAAATCACATGATATGTACATTTTCCAAATGCGGATTCTCACGTTACACCTGCTCCTTCTATCTAATTGGATAAAAATCACGTTCCAGATAAAACATATCTGATATCGCAACCCCTAAAAACATCGACCAATAGGATGCATTGTTTATCCGATTGATAATCAATATATTGCCTAATTTTTCTCACGTTCTTGATTTTTATCTTTTCTCATTTCCACTTTTTCGTTTATTTTTTTTTCGTTATACCTACCTTCACATAGGTTTGGAGAAGTTAGATCGCTTCGATGGTTCCGGTCTAACCGGGTGAA